ACCACACATTTATATTGAGTATTTGATCATCAAAATTATATTTTTCTTCTCTTTATATGTTGTATAAATATACGTCAAAATAACACTTTCGCATATTCATTTAGTTTGTCATAAAAAAATTATAAAAAAACAAGCACGATTTTCAGGCAATCTGACCCTTGAAAAAACTCAGGCAAAATGACGACTTTGAAAAGAAAAACGAAATATATTTTAACTGCATGTATTTATATTGAGTATTTGATCATCAAAATTATATTTTTCTTCTCTTTATATGTTGTATAAATACATGTCAAAATAACACTTTCGCATATTCATTCAGTTTGCCATAAAAAATTGTGAAAGAACAAGCACGATTTTTAGACAATCCCCTCTTAAGGGGACTCCCCCGAAGTTTCCTTAAGAGAACACCCATAATCATTTTGGAAAATCAGACTAGACTTCAATTGGACCTCGAGGAAAATTTTCCACACTGAAAAAAGGATTTGGTTGACGAAACCAAAATTTTACTTCACCGAAATAAATTTTATTTCGCCTAAATAAACTTCGTGTTCCACGGAGAAGGCTTGGAGTATTTTTTTTCTCGGTGTACAACATGCACGCGCACGGTGGTGACGGACGCCACTTCGAACATGGTCTGCGACGCGCGACCTAGACGAAGTGCCGACTGATGCACAGCGCGCAGGGAGGCGTAGTTCATGAAGTCATTGTCACGTGATTGTCGTGATATCGCGAGCGGGCGGTGTGTGACGCACAAACGGAGTCCCTACGTTCGCCCGGCCACTACACTACGGCTAACGAACTTCGCCGGGATTATTATTACCGTGTCTCGCTGGATGGCCGCCAATAGTTACAACATATTTCGGTTTACATTGCGTCGCGGCCGTTAACCCCCGAACAAACCCAAATCCGTTTGGGATGAACAACGGCCGATTGTGATTCGCGTCTAACAATAGAAGCACCTCGCGCGCTGAACAACTTCATTCTCGCGATCGAGACGCACGCCTCTTCGCCGCGCTACCATCGTTCGCGAGAGAAAATTGTGTCAGCTGACACAATTCGCCAGTTAATTTCGCGCGGACATCCGTCGCGTGCGAAAGAGTGATCGCCGAACGATAAAATACTGCGGGAACGACGCGCGCGCGATAAATCAGTCACGATGATTAATTGCCGATGCAACAAGTTCCGCGAGGAACTGCAAACTTGCTCGAAAACGCAAATGGGGGCTTCTGAAATTAAAAATTTTACTCAATTCATTAATTTTCTTTTTTTTATTTATTAATCGTATTCTATATTTTAATCATTCGTTTTTATTTGCTTTTGCGGGATTTAATATTTTTAAGGAAGAAATTTTTATATTTTAGCGCAGAATTTTTCTGGACGCATTTGAAATGTTAATCGTTTTATTTGCTGATTTAATTTTATTAGTTTTATTAATTTTATTTATTGATTTGATTTTTATTGATTTAACTTTATTAAACATTTCTTCGTGAGTAATAGCGGCAATTAAATTTTTTTATTGTAATTACCAAATATTTTATTGATCCCATTTTAATCAAATTTTGGTTTCGTCCAATTTTTTTTTCAATTCAAGAAAATTTTTTTAGAGTTCAATTGAGGTCTAGTCCAATTTCCGAAACACGTGATTTTAAGTGAGATAACCAAAAGTTCTCCAAATATTTACTGAAAAAAGGATTTTGTTGTCTAAAAAAAAATTTACTACACTGAATCAAAATTTGGTTAACAGAATTAACCAAATGTTTGGTAACTGCAAAGAAACAATTTAATTGTTGCTGTGTATTTGGTTTCTTAATAATAACTGAGAAACTACAATTACTTAGAAACCTCAAAAATCCAGAAGAAACCCAGAATCTAGAATTACTTTGGGAAAATTTTCTTAAATTGAAAAAAGAATTTGATTGACGAAACCAAAATGATTTGATTAAAATGAGATCAACAAAATATTTGGTAGTTACAATAAAAAAATTTAATTGCCACTATTACTCACGGAGAAATGTTTAATAAAGTTAAATCAATAGAAATCAAATCAATAAGTAAAATTAATATACTTGTGTCAGATATATACATATACCCGACATAAGTAAAAACATAATAATGCTAACAAATTACGAAAAAGACTTTCTTATTAATAAACAAAACTATAAAGTAAGGCCAATAAGAGTCATAACACTGGTTAGTGGTGTGCAAAGCTTTAATATATGTAAACTATTAGATGGCAGAGTCTTACTAAAAATATAATTATTATAAACGTTTCGGTTCTCGCTTTGAACCTTCCTCAGTATATTACTCACAAATTATTGGACAATAATTGTAATTAAATAAATATTTGTGAGAAAAGCAGTCATCAAGAAGTACACACACTGAATTCGGTAAAAGATGTACGAGCGTTCAGCGTGTGTACTTCTTGATAACTGCTTTTCTCACAAATATTTATTTAATTACAATTATTGTCCAATAATTTGCGAGTAATATACTGAAGAAGGTTCAAAGCGAGAACCGAAACGTTTATAATAATTATATTTTTAGTAAGACTCTGCCATCTAATAGTTTATATATATTAAAGCTTTACACACCATTAACCAGTGTTACGACTTTTATTGGCCTTACTTTGTAGTTTTGTTTATAATAATGCTAATCAAATCGAGTGTACTAAACATTAGTTTTGTTCGAGTTGCTTGTACTTTTCACACTTTTACACTAATGCACTCCAAACAACACAAATTTTCCAAAATACATTCTGAAGACGTTTTCAGGACGGAGGGACGTCATCAGAATATTCTTAGGACGTCCTTTGAAGGTGTGAATTGTCTGAAAATAGCTAATATCCAATAAGTTTATTCACATTAATTGAATTTTTTACACTTTCACACTTAGTGCACATTAATTCTTTAGAGGTTCTAAAAATTACGTCATGATTTCCGTTCGTCTCTTGCTTGGAATCAAGTGTAAAAAGTATATCAGAATTACATTTACACTCGTAACACGAACGGAAATCATGACGTAATTTTTAGAACCTCTAAAGAATTAATGTGTACTAAATGTGAAAGTGTAAAAAGTTCAATTAATGCGAATAAACTTATTGGATATTAGCTATTTTTAGACAGCTCACATCTTCAAAGGACGTTCTAAAAATATTCTGATAACATCCCTCCGTCCTAAAAGCGTCTTCAGAACGTATTTTGGAAAATTTGTATTGTATGAGGTGCACTAGTATGCAACGGGTGTGCATTAGGTGTAAAAGTGTGAATGGTACAAGCAAGTCGAACAAACCTATTTCTTCGCGGAGTGGGACGAACGGCTCGCGGGAATTCGAATCGACGTCATCGCGACTTTGACCGTTTGTGTCAGGTCTGACCGGCTGGTGCGTCGCGTCGCGTTATCGCTGATAATCGCTCCCAGTCGCTAATCTTTTTCGCACTTCTTGTTTCCTTATCTTTTACAGTGGGGACGCAGGCATACGTGTCCGGTTCGACGGGTTCGCAGTGCCTCTGCTGCCCGTACGGATACCACATCGATCTGGATTTCGTGCGTTATTGCGAGGCCGTCGCGGCCGGAAGCGCTGGCGACCGGCCGAGCTTGGAGCGGCGCAAGAAGAGAGAACGCCGTAGACAATGTCAGTCGATGGAGGTTCTCTTAGGCCTGGTAATTAATTAGCGGTACCTCTAATTACGTGTACGCGTGCAGAAAGCGCCGCTGCGCGGAGCTAACGAATAGTGAAACCGGTTGTTGTGTCATTAACCCAGCATGATCCGCCGAACGCTTCCTACACGGAGCATGAAGGTAATGTTTCGATTGACATTCGCGCACGCCTTGTTGTTCGCAGCGCGGAAATGTCGTCATGTCGCCGTAAATGTGTGCCGCGCGAAGATCCTTTTTCGCTTTCGCTTCCACTGCACTGCGCGCGCAACATCTTCGATACATCGCATACACTGAAAAACTCATTTAGTTGAGTTAACCAAAATTTGGTTAAAATATGGTGGAACAAATGTTGAAAAACTCATTTAGTTGAGTTAACCAAAATTTGGTTAAAATATGGTGGAACAAATGTTGAAAAACTCATTTAGTTGAGTTAACCAAAATTTGGTTAAAATAAGGTGGAACAAATGTTTTAGCTGTGAGAACCAATATTTGGTACTTTGAACCAAAGGTTTGATATTTTTAAACAAAAATGAAACAAGTTTAGTTTCAGAGAATCAAATCTTTGGTAGAAAGAACGAAATTGGCCCTCACAACCGAAACATTTAGTTCGACTCTATTTTAACCAAATTTTGGTTAACCCAACTAAATGAATTTTTCAGTGTACACTCTGAGAGAAAAAGGTCTGGCACTTGCAACTATGATCACATGGAGAAATAGTTACTACAGATTACGTGTGTGATCAATACATTTTTAATTGAATACTACTATAATATTAATGATGATAACCTTATGTGCGTATTACTAGTGACATTTTCGCGTTAGAACAACCAAAAAATATGATTAAGGCAAAAAATAACTATAATTTTAGTCAAATAAATGATTTGTTTCTCAGTGTAACGATGAAATCATTGAAAAATACAAATAACAACTCATATAAACTTCCACGAATATCACAAGATAAGTGAGACAATCGATGATGGAAACTTTGCAATTCTTGACTCATAAATTGCATTTATGAGTCAAGTATACTATATGAAATTAATCATAAAATTTACATTATACAATAATTTATTGACGTAGTAATTTACTGAGAATTATATTCAAAATTTTGCATTACATTTTACGCGATATATTGTTTTGGGCAAATTTCAGTTATAATTTTTGTATTTTTTCCATATTTCCGTTTCACCATTCTATGTGATAAATATAGCTGCCAAGTAAGCCATTCATATGGTACCTTCATCGAACGACCGATAAAGTCTCCGTCAAATTTACGCGCACCTGTCTATCAGGGAAACATTACGCGCGCTCCTTATCGCGTTCGAGTGAGTTTTCGAGCGGTCGTTCGCGGCGAGACCCCGCGATAATTCTAATGAACATTGTATGAAGTAAGTCACGTTACTTCTCCGGCTTCCGCCGGAGGCAGTAAATGCGCTCGTCGCGGCGCGACGGAACCATGAAGATCCGAGATAAATCACTCGGCGAAGCCGCGCGCGCATCGTCGGCCGTAATTCACATTGGACGTGGCGAGCCAGCGTTACAGATCGTTTCCCTTATTTTCGCTCTTAGGTGAGCCCGGCGCTGGCGGGAATAGAGGCCGAATTGCCGAAAATACCGCAAGAATGCGCGACCGCGAACGGCATTACCACGCTGCCGCGATCGTATCCGCCGCCGCGGCAGGGAAATTCGCAACCCTCGCCGGTGCTGGACCTCAGCGACGTCGTGGGCGACTTCGAGGCGACCCTCAGACGATCCTGCGGCTCATCGAGGCCATCCGACCGCCGGCTGTTCGCGGAGACTGGTAAGTTATTCCTTCCCTTGGTCGATCGAAGCGAAAAAAACATCGCCGAGGTCTAATATTATTGTCATCATTATTATTGCTGTTATTATATTGTAGAGATTGCGAATCAAAGATTTTAAATGTCAAATCGAATCTCAGATTTTAATCTCGAATTCGAATCGATGAAATTTCACCCGAATCGAATCGAATCGTTAAAGGAATTTTTGGTTAACATAATCATTGAATTCAACATGAAAATAGTGACTTCAGTATGAGAGAGATTATATTGATTATGTGATATCAATTCATTTTAAGATAAGAGATATATAATATACAGTCGGTAAACATGTGTGGAATACAGTTCCAGCCTTGAAAGCTGCGCAACGACACATATCGATTCGACAGTTGTCAGTAAGATTTTATTTAGAAGCCATTATCTTCTTTTAATATTTTTGAAAAAAATCTTAATGCATAGCAAAACTTTTCAAGTCATCCTAATTTCCATAAAGCTGAATGTTTTAGAATAGTTCTTCGTTAAGGGGATTGGAGAGTCAGATTGCCTGAAAATCGTGCTTGTTCTTTCACAATTTTTTATGACAAACTGAATAAATATGCGAAAGTTATTTTGACGTGTATTTATACAACATATAACGAGAAGAGAAATATAATTTTAATAATCAAATACTCAATATAAACGTATGATACATGCAGTTAAAATATATTTCGTTTTTCTTTTCAAGGTCATCATTTTGCAGTAATATCTTAACTCTCGGTGATTCAATTAAGCTGAATTTTAGGTAGAAAATTTCCGTAAGCTTGTCGTTATCGTGTGAACCACTGAGAAACTCGTGAAAATATTTAATTCTGAAATATTAATTTTTTTACTATAAAAGAACTGAAAATTTAATAATATTTCATTAAGATATTTGCAATTTTGTTAATTTTTACTCAATTTCTATTATAGTGGTTCACACGATAACGACAAGCTTGCGGAAATTTTCTACCTAAAATTCAGCTTAATTGAACCACCGAGAGTCAAGATATTACTGCAAAATGACGACCTTGAAAAGAAAAACGAAATATATTTTAACTGCATGTACCATATACTTATATTGAGTATTTGATCATCAAAATTATATTTTTCTTCTCTTTATATGTTATATAAATACACGTCAAAATAACACGTTCGCATATTCATTCAGTTTGTCATAAAAAATTATAAAAGAACAAGCAGGATTTTCAGGCAATCTGACCCTCCAGTCCCTTAATGCTAAAATGCGCGATTCGAATCTTTTTGACTCGAAATTTTCGAATTATTCGGATTCAAATCATAGGGATTCGAATTTGAAGCGAATCGAATTTTACTTGATGCGATTCGATTCTATTCAAATTCGAACAGTTCGCACATCTCTACAATATTGTTGCCTCGGATGTGAAAAGCAGAGAAGAGGAGGAATCGCGCCGCGAAGTCGCGCGATCGGTCGCGCGACGAATTAACCGGCGAAAGAGATCCGATATAATTTCACGCACATTGAATTTCCTCGCGCTGAATCCGCCCGCGGCCATACTGGGACTTCTCCATGGCCGAATGACCCGCTATGCGGTCAACAGCGCGAAGAGAAATAGCCCCTTCCGCGTCTTCGGGCCGCTTTGAAGTCGCCACGGCGGGCCGGCGCGCATTAATTATTTCATTACGCGACCGCTTGATTACGCGAGGCCGGCCCTAATTTCACGAGGTCTCGCCTGCGGCGGAAATTGTCGTTCGCGAGCTATTGACGGCGAAACGATCCATTACAGAAATTAATCGTGCCGGGAGCGCGCCGATAATTCACCGCTGATAGCGTTGAATAATTTAGCGCTGATAATTGAGCAACACCTCGTTTCGATTGAAAGTGCGCGTCGCGCGATTGTAATCGAGGAGGCAAGGTTAACGAACGTGTTACCGTTGCCGCTACCACTATTATGTTCCTCGTCGTGCTCGCGTTAGCCTCCCGTTAGTCTTCGCGATGCAAATTATACGTAGCGGACACATTCGCCGCTTAATTCGCTCTTCTCCTTCCGCTCTGAGAAGGAAGACACTCGAAAGTTTATTCGCGAGAGAGGTAAAGTTGATTTTTACAAAATTTATTTTTGGGTATATAAAAATTTACGCGACGAGCGCGGTGCAAAATTAAGAGGAAAGTTTCCGAAGAAAAAAATCCGTCTTCCTCGCGAAACATTTGTGCTGTCTCGTCTCGCACATTGCGGTGGCCGAATTAATATAGGCGGTTTCTCTCGTTAGGAGATCGAGAAGTGATTTCAGGCGAAGTTGCCGAACGATTAAAGCAACATTAATTCGCCGGCGATCCGCCTCGTCAAAACGAGGAAAAAAGCCGCGCGAGAAACGTTCGCGCGATTTTCCCCTGTTTTATTACGCTCGTAAGAGACGACTCGCCGTGGATAAGCCGACTTTTAAATGCCGACCGCGAGGAATGCTCGCCCCCGAAAAGTGTTGTAAATTCGATACTTTATAACTTCTTTAAGTCGAACGCGCCGCGCTCGCCTTTAATTAGGAAGATATCGCCGTCGAACGTACGTTTCATCTCGCAGACTCTTAATTTTATCGGACGTCTGCCGCTCTGATCACCGTTATTCCCGCTAAAACGCCTTAAAAAGACGCGTTACACGCCCGAAAAAGCAGCCGTTTCGTCGCGCCGGTGCCGCCCAATTTCGCACTTTTGTCCAAACGGCGCGGCTTTGGTGTGCTCGTGTTTCGCTAGATATGTGGTCGATCCGGCCAAATTTCTCTCTTTTGCGCACTCGCAAAACGAAGAGTGAGAAGCGGCGGTGTTTTCACTCGAAGCGATGGAGAAAATATTGCCACACGAGATCGAGCAAGGCTGAATGTTTCACTCGGGGCTTAGAACGGTGATTCTGACTCTGCACGAGCGAACGTTTCAGTCGATCAGAGCGAATACTTTCTTCAGGTGAGTCAGTAAAAATGTTCCGCTTGGCGTCACCAATATTCTGCTCGAGTTAAGCTCAGGATTTCTGCTCGGCCAAACAAGATTTCTGGCTAACTCGAACGGAATTCTAGCTCGTTCATGTTTCACCGGATACTCGACTAATTCAACCGAATCTTTACTCCGCGTGCGCTCCGAGAGACTCGGGAAGCTCGTGCCTGAATGAAATAGCCCCCCACTTTTCGAATTTAATAATTTTGACAGTTGTGCTGATTTGTGCTAGGTTTGTGCTACATTGTGCTCGAATTATAAATTTTTAATACGAAAAATGAGCAAGCAAAATAGAAAAAACCGTTTTTTTGGTAGATCCCCACTTTTCGATTTTCGAAATTTTTTTTATTGTGTTAGGTTATGCTAAGTTGTGCTAACATTGTGCTAAAGTAGTATCTTCGAAAAATAATCACGAAAGAAATAAGACGAAAAAAACGATTTTAGGCAAAAAAGAAGAAAAGTAAGATTTACTCGTATAAGTCAACCAAACAATATACAATTATATATCTGAGTTGTGCTAGCCTAGCACAAGTCAGCACAAGTTTCAGTTTCGCCAGCACAAGAATCTAAAGGGCACTTTACTCTTGACCGCGGCCTTTGGCACTCGCAGTTTATGTCATTAATCACCACTTCTAGATTTTGCATCGACTCAGATATGCAATCCTGAGCCAATGCAAAGTCTAGAAATAATTAATGGTATAGATTGCGAGCGCGAAGAGCCGCGGTCAAGAGTAAAGTGCTCTTTAGATTCTTGTGCTGACGAAACTGAAACTTGTGCTAGCCTGGCACAACTCAGATACGCAATTCTGAATCAATACAAAGTCTAGAAGTGGTGATTAATGACAGACTGCAAGCGCGAAGCGCCGCGTTCAAGAGTAAAGTGCCCTTTAGATTCTTGTGCTGACGAAACTGAAACTTGTGCTAGCCTGGCACAACTCAGATACGCAATTCTGAATCAATACAAAGTCTAGAAGTGGTGATTAATGACAGACTGCAAGCGCGAAGCGCCGCGTTCAAGAGTAAAGTGCCCTTTAGATTCTTGTGCTGACGAAACTGAAACTTGTGCTAGCCTGGCACAACTCAGATACGCAATTCTGAATCAATACAAAGTCTAGAAGTGGTGATTAATGACAGACTGCAAGCGCGAAGCGCCGCGTTCAAGAGTAAAGTGCCCTTTAGATTCTTGTGCTGACGAAACTGAAACTTGTGCTAGCCTGGCACAACTCAGATACGCAATTCTGAATCAATACAAAGTCTAGAAGTGGTGATTAATGACAGACTGCAAGCGCGAAGCGCCGCGTTCAAGAGTAAAGTGCCCTTTAGATTCTTGTGCTGACGAAACTGAAACTTGTGCTAGCCTGGCACAACTCAGATACGCAATTCTGAATCAATACAAAGTCTAGAAGTGGTGATTAATGACAGACTGCAAGCGCGAAGCGCCGCGTTCAAGAGTAAAGTGCCCTTTAGATTCTTGTGCTGGCGAAACTGAAACTTGTACTGACTTGTGCTAGGCTAGCATAACTCATATATGTAATTGTATATCGTTTGGTTGACTTATACGAGTGTAAATCTTACTTTTATTCTATTTGCCTAAAATCGTTTTTTTCATCTTATTTCTTTCGTGATTATTTTTCGAAGATACTATTTTAGCACAATGTTAGCACAACTTAGCACAACCTAACACTATAAAAAAAATTTCGAAAATCGAAAAGTGGGGGTCTACCAAAAAAACGGTTTTTTCCATTTTTCTTGTTCATTTTTCGTATTAAAAATTTATAATTCGAGCACAATGTAGCACAAATCTAGCACAAATTAGCACAACTGTCAAAATTATTAAATTTGAAAAGTGCGAGGCTAACTTCATACAGGCGAAGCTCGTTCGCGAATTAATCGAAAGAAAAAGAAGAAAGGAAACGAGAGAGGCCCGACATATCGAAACTTCGCAACTTTATTTCGCCATCCGGCGACGAAGTGACGAAGGCGGCCACCACACTCTCACCCGGTGATCTCGAGAGCGGCGGCCGCTTC